GAGTATTGGAGAAAGGAAAGTTCTATAGACCTTGAGAAGAGTTTTCTGAATCGATTTTTTTTAGTCTTTCTTAGCAGTTAAAAAAACCCCTTTCCTTTCTCAGTTCAGTTTCGTATGATATTTCAGTATTTTGAGGTTTTTCAGTTATTGCTAGTTTTTCTGATTGTCCCCATGAACCACGTAACTAACTTCTACAAAATTATATTTCACATGAAAAATGCTGTCCCCAATTATGTGCAGCCTGGGTAGGGCCCATATTTACAAATGGGTACATATTGCATTTAAGAAATCTCAGTGTACTGATATTGATATAATGAAATAAGTTTTACAATGGCATCAACCGTTTTGCTAATAAAAAACAAGCACGTAAAAACAAGTGTTTCAAAACGCTGGAATTTAAAATTTTATTTTAAAATTAAGCAAATAAGCACCGAGTTTCATTTCCCTATTTGTCGGTACATCATTTTGTATCTTTTTTGTAAGAAATAACAGAGGGGCGGGAATCTTAAGAACCGTGTCGCCTTGGGCAGCAATAATTCTGGCTATGCCATCGCTTGTAGCCTACCTTTAAAACTGTTTATTACGTTAAACTGTTTAGGTAAACTCTAACACTGTTTATTATGTTAACTGTTAAACTGTTTATTACTAACATTTGAAAACTCAGAAGACATACAAAATAACACTATAATAATGTGAATTATATATTTTAAAAGCATGAATTGACATGCTTATGGGCTTTCTTTTCAAAAAAGCATCTATCAAATGAGAAAATGTTTTTAGGGAGAAGGGTTTGGTTAGTGCGAATTTGTATACAAATATAGTCATATTAATAATTTCGGTTCTCTACTGAATGAAATTTACGAAAGGTGTCATCCAATAAGATTTGATGTGCGATAAAAGTATTAACAGATTACATTAAAATTATGTGTTACTCAGTCAAGGAGTTTCTTAATTGCGAAAATGATTAAATATTAAGGAGTGTCTTAATTTCTTGAAGGACGATAGTTCGGTTTATTTACTATGGCAAAGCAATCGGGAGAAAGCCTAAGGAAGCGATGCCTTCGTGGAGTACTTTCTAAGGGTGTGGTGTGGTGTATTTAATTATGGCAAAGCACACTAGGGCTATCTGCCTAAGGGGAGGGATGCCTTCGTGGCGAGCTTTCTAAGGGAAACTGGCTCGTATCCACGTTACACATGGGGAAAACCACGAAAACACCCATGCAGCTAGCCCGTTCGCGGGATTCGAACGTCGAACCGAACTACCAGTGTTCAGCGACTTTACCGCTCGGCCGCTGGTGGGCTACTTTCTAAGGAAAACTTGTTCGCATTCATATTGGAGAAAACCACGAAAATGCCCATGCAGCCAGTCGTTTGTTTGGAATTGAATCCAGGTCGAAACTACAAGAGTTCACCGCTCGGCCGCTGGTGGGCCACAGAAGAGGAAAGGGTCATGAGTTCTTGACGAGTATCCTAAAATGAACTGCTATATATTTTAATTTTCATTTATGTACTTAGAAACCAAATTACGTGGATCTGTCCTTTTTCGCTAGTAGCTTTCAAGGCCCGGGATGGAAATATCAATATTCCACGACTTTAGTCATTCAACCACTGATAGACCAGTGCAAGTGTTCAAACAAATCCTTGTGAAATTTTGTTGTTGTTACCGATCTCACTTGTCTGAGAAAGGTCAGCACAAACAAACGACATTCGTCTTGGCAAGGAATCAAATGTGCCTGTCGATGGCAAGAGCTTTGAGCAGCCCAATTTTAGCTCAGTTCTGACTCGAATTTTTAGAGAGAGCACCCAAGTGGGACCAGTCCGAGCTTCTCCCATTCCTCCTACCCTACCGGCAACCTCTCGAGAGGACTTCCGGCTTGTTGCACATTTAGAATGCCCCCATGTCACACAGACACTATACATTTGCAAACATCCTCGCCTTTCCAGTGCTTATACCTTCTTTACTGAACCGAAACTTCTGAATGAAAAGTTTGAATATCAACTAAATCATGATACGATGATATAAATGATGAAAAATTCTCGGTTAAGAGTTTCGTTTGGTTTATTTCATTACGACAAACACTCGAGGGCTATCTGCCTAAAGGAAGGGATGCCTTGATGATGGAGGGCTTACTAAGAAAAACAGGCTCTATCCATGTGTTACACATAGGGCTATTCGGAAAAACGCCTCTGCAGGCAGCCCGTTCGCTGGGATTCGAACCTTGGACCGAACTACCGATGTTCAGCGACTTTACTAGTCGACCGCTGGTGGGCTCTTGTGTTTAAGAGAGAAATTTTTGCGAATTTTGTTTTAGTTATTGATAGGAAAAGCGAAACAGGGACATTGAAAGGAGGTCCTTTTGATTTGATTTGATTTTATAAAAACTCCAGAACTAAGTTCCAGATGCTGCAGTACTACTGTAAACGTTCCTCACAATGCTTTTAAGTTCTGTTAGTTGTGAGACAAATTTTCTGTTTAAAAGATTAATTAATTAATTAATTCTGTATAAAAGAATAATAATATTTTTAAGATTTAATGGATATTTTTACTTTTTATACTATCTGCATAACAGCTGCTGAAGCAATAAAGTTGTAGGGATTTATATTTATTTTAAATAACCAATTTTATTTAATTTGCTATTCTTTCCTATAAGCCTTCATTCCCCTCATTGTCAACACCAGAATATTTAAATTTGGTAGCACGCGTGAAGGAATGCAAATTCTTTCTTGTGAAGAAAGAGTTTAACCCACCCATCCCGAGGTTCAGAAGGAAAGTTAGAGAGAGTTAGGTTATTGCCGCTACCTCTGTTGCGTGAGCGTCTGCTCTCGGAGTTATTGCTGGTTTACGTGACATAACTGCATTTACTTGCTGCCACTAGTTTCGACGCGTGTTTTAGAAACAGGAATATCTCAGCCCAGTATAATTTATAATTAGTTCTACTGTTTGTGAACATTTTGAATTTTTAGTTTAGTTCTGTGATTTCAGTTACCGCTGTAGTGTAGTGGCCCGAGGTTTGTGTAGTGTCACTACACAAACCCCGGGTTGTGATGCAATGTTGAAATGAACTTAAAACTCAAGTTCTAACAATAACATGAATTTTAATAAGCTAAAAACATTAATAGTTGTGATTCTTGACAGTATGGGACTTGGGTACAATTAGTCCCGTAATTTCAGAATTTTGTTACAAGAAAAATGCTCTAACGCATTATGCACGAGGAATGATTGATCTTAGCAGACCAACATGCCCTTAGCTCTAAACAGGAAAGTTCTTCTCTCTTCTCAGTAAACCACCTTATATATCTCTCTGTGTTTATTTGCGTTGAACTTCCGGGAATTTCTCTATATCTTTGTTCATTGGAGCGAACTTCGAGACTGCAACCAGAATCATTAACAAAGGCACAGCATTTCACCTCTGATATGAAAATTATTGCACTCTGAAATCACTCATCCTAGACAAAGAACCTTTATGCCACTTTATCACACCGCCCAAGGGAGGCGTAGCGTGTTTAGCGTCAAATTGACGCATTGTAAATTTTAAAGATAATTGTAAATTAATAAATGGTACTTTTAAGTCTTCTCCTGAGTAGTTCCTACCAGAATTTACTACACGTACGAATCTCACTTAGAAGTTAGACAAGTGGACCCTACAAAATAAAATATCATCGATGGTTTTGCATACAGAAAAATAAGCAAAGTAATAATAAAATTTTAAAATGTTAAAGTTTTACTTACAAAATAAACACAGAGTTTTAATTTATTTACTTCTATATCATTTTGACACTTTTTAATGCTATTTGCTTGCACATGAAAAAAGACGGCCAATTCAGGGATTGTACCAGGCAGTAAATTCAGAGATAGCATAATGCTGTGAATACGAAACAGATTATTCGTTATTTTAATGTAAGATTTTTTAGAGATTTTTTTTTTTAATGTGCATATCGAATCAGTATTTACTGTGAGAGATTCAAATACTTTCAGATTGTCTGTTATGAAGGCTGCAACTAAACACGCTTGAAAACCTCCTGAACAGTAAATAATCTGTATTTTATTAGTGAACCATCTCCAGCAATGTTTGTGTATTTCAAAGCTATTTGTGAGTCTTTTTGAGCTTTAATATTTGTTTTCTAGAGTCATTAGGTTATTTTGTAGCAGGAAGACATGAAAAATGTGCAATGCTCTCGCTGGGACTCGAACCTGGACATCTCCGTAAGCGCCGGGTATGCTACCGTTATACTACGAAGGAACGCTGGAAGGAAGGAGAAAATACCTTATATACTCCTCCTTTTAAAGGGCGACTGAGGATTAGGGAACCCAATCGCCAAATCCTGGTGGTGACGAATTATCGTCCATCACCTTTTAGTTCGGACGCCACTGTAGAGTCATTAGGTTATTTTGAAGTAGGAAGACGGGAAAAGTGTGCAATGCCCTCACCCGGACTCGAACCTGTATCTCTCGATACGCGCCGAGTGTGCTACCATTACACCACGAAAGCATATTGGAAGGAGGGAGAAAATACCTTATAGTATATTAAATTATAGTATATTATGAATTAAACGACTATACTGTACTAAAAATTTCTTTTTCACCCTTCTTCTCCGCATGAAGAGAAACATTATCAGTAGTCAGATAGTATCCAGATTCTGAATCTTCATTTTGAAATTTAAGTCGCCGCCTTTTATTTTAGGAAGTGAAAGAATCTTGCTGAGAGGGAATCATTTATGTTAAATTATGCAGGTGACTTAGAATTATTAGATTAAACATATTCTTAAGAAAGTTGAGTTACCCCGAATATTGACGTATTGAAACAGAATGTAGTAAGTTTTCACTGTGCACAGATTGCATGAAGTCATAAATCCGAAGTTTTGTTTTATTTCAAAATTAAGTTATTGCTCCCACATTTCATTTGAGAAAAATGTAAAATGTAATTGGTCATCAGTGAATTCAGTTACTAATGGTTCGATTTTTCTAATAATACTGAGATGTTAAAATAAACAGTGCTTCATTCAGTTTGATCACATTTTTATTGACAGAATTAAAAAGAAAACACTCTTACAAAGAAATTTTTAAGGAGAAAACTTAACATTATCTTTCAAAAAATATTTTTTTTAATTAACTAATGATTAAAAGACTTAGTAGAACTTATTTGAATTTTTTTATTAACGTTATTGTACACAAGTAAAGACTTTGTTGAAGATAGTCAAAGCAACGGTAAGAAAATATTAATATTAACAAAGAAAAATCGGGGAAAGGATTCAAAGGAAAAAAATGGGGAAAAGTTAACAGAGGGCAATTAAAAGAACTTTGAGAGACATTTCTTGAAATAAATATGAAAACTAAAATTGAAAACTTTCTTAATTGTTATTTCTGAAACTAAACCCTATTGTTTGTCCTAGCAAATTAATAAATGTAAAAATGCTGTTTTTTTACTAGACAGTTGCTGAAACAGAAAGGAAAGAACCTGAAAAAATTAATAAATAAATAAAAAAAAACGAAGAAACTAAAAGAAAATTGTTTCATCGGCAATTTGAAATCAAAATAAACAAAGTCAAAGAAAGATTCAACAAAGAGAAAACTGTAGGCGAATGAAAATGAAACAGAAACGGAGACGAAATATCACTTTAAAGGCGATCAAATGAAATAAACCGATCGGGCGAAGAAGGTAAACTAAATCAGTCAAGAAAGCTGAACAATCAAGGCAACTGGATACTGGAAAACAAAAATGAAACCCAGGGAAAGCCGATCAAAGGGAAAACATTCAAGTAACAGGAAATCAAAGAGAATTAAAGACCAAACAAACCAGAACGTAAATACAACTAAGAAAAATAATTTTAAGCAAACCGCACACAAGTCAAAGAGATGGAAACGGAAGGAAGATAAATCAAAGAGAAACCGTTCATTGTAATATAAAATGAAAGATGAGAAAAATCAAAGGCAAGTAAATCAAAGACTGAAGAAAGAGCATTCAAATAGAAAGAAACGAAAATAAAAGAAAAACAAGTAAGATCTGTCTGAAAAAAGAAAAATCCAGGGGAATAAAAAAATAGCGATGAGAAAGATTACCATACACAGAAATTGAGATTAAATCTAAAAGGATAGAAGCATCAAAATAGAAAAGCTAAACGAAAATAGGAAAAGAAATTAATGCACAAAATTAAAAGATGGGGCGGAGAGGGAGAGAAAAAAAGGAGAGAAAGAAAAGGTTTCAACAACAAAAAACATGTGAGTACATGGTAAACAAAGAAGATTCCCCAAAATCGTTTTGCAATAGATTAAAAGAGAGGGGGAGAGATAGAGATAATGACTGCAATACACAATCAAATTAAATTTAAATTGATTCATTCAAATTTTCCAATCTACACGCAAAAAATTGCTCTTGAGACTTTGGTTTAAGTCTAATATACATAAATCCAATATATTAAATTAATTAAAAACATCGTCGTTATCAAAAGCAAAATAATATTTTTATTATTATTAAAAGAGTTTTCATAATCATAATAATAGGTTTCGTGATTATTATAACCTCTTTTGCAACCAAAGTTAAAATTTAAAGTGTTTACAAAAAGAGGCTATCTTAGTGTTTGCTTTCAATGTAAATGGTGATGAAGATGATGACGGGCAGCGTGACTTGCGACCACTTTGCAGCTTTCTTCACTCAGTTTCTTTGCACATTCCTGAAGAAGAATAAATAAATAAATAAAATAAACCCATTTTTCATAATGGAATAAATTTAAGCTTATATAGATATTTTATATAGGTAGGAAAAATGAAGTATATTTAAATTTGTAAACCTATTCACCACTTATTCAAAAAACAATCAAGTAGTTAAGTTACTGAAGCTGATATGCTAGAAAGAGATTCTTAAACAGGGTCTTTGGAAAAGGAAGTATCTTTTAAATGCTATCTTGAAGGAAGTGTAACTTTTAAATGCTGCCTATGATATTACTTTTCACTTTTCGCCCTTATATGAAAGAAGCTGGTGCAAGCTCCCCGTCGTATGTTTGTTTTATTTGAATATGGTAAAGCACTCGAAGGCTGTCTGCCTTCGTGGAGGATTTTTTAAGGAAAACGCCGGGATTCGAACCCTGGACCGAACCTTCTTACATCCAAGATTAGTAGACAAACAGGGCTAGACTCTTCGCAAAGCTAACGAAAAGAATATGTATTAGACATAAACTTTCTTTGGCTAACGTCACTTACACAGCAGTGGGAGGTATGAACACATAAAGGGAATAGTTGCTTTTGAAAAGACTATCAGTCAGTGACGTCACGCAAGAACAAACTTATAGCATAAGAACCTTGCTTATTTAACGCTTGTCATGTTCGTACAGCTGCTTAATTTCTTCGGAGAATTTATCCTCTTTAATTAAAGTAGAAAATTCTGGTTACGGTACTTTGAACACTTCAATGTTATTAAAATAAAATAATAGCTCTCAGCTGAGAGAAGTGGTGTAGCTGGAGACGGTCCGTCTTGGTGGCATACCTTTAAGGGTGGTATATTTTGTGGGAAACATAATTTTGTAGAGGTTAATCAGATGGATCGTCGAGACAGCTGAAGGATAATTAGATTATAAATTGCCATACGAAATTAAATTGTGAGAAGAAATAGGTTTTACTCTAGATACAGTATTCAAAGAAATCACCACATAATTTCAACACTTGGCATACTTTTGTTATATCTTTTTCGTTCCATTAAAACTTTTAAATATCTTTAGAATTTTTGCAGTTAATTCTAAAATAAAGGATAATTTTATCTTTATTTAGAATAAAGAATAAATCCAGAATTAAAGTTTCGGATATTGTGCAACTAGCGCAAACTTCCTTCGCTATTGCTGTTTGTGCTGCTAGCTGTGAGAAGCATTTTCTAAATAAAAATCATTTAAGAATTATGTAAGAACTACAGATGTTTATTTTGCGTTTAAAAAACTTCTAAAATGTGACTGATGGTTTAGCAAACAAAAAAGCAAACAAAATAATACAATTGTAAAATGTTGGAATTAAAACTTTTCATTCAAAAATAAACTTAAAGTTACAATTTCCCCCCCCTGCATGTTGTTTTAACATTTCTGTACTTATTTGTTTATATATCAAGAGGAAGGGCAAGTTCAAAGACCAAGAGGCTAACTCAGAGACCGCCCCGGGCGGCAAAATCTATAGCTAAGTTACTGATCGAGAGTTAATTTTAGGTGAGAATGAAGGAATATTTGAGAACTGTGACACTTTTCTTTGCTGTAGAAACTGTTTAAAATAAACGGAATGGTGGATGGGACATTTCAGGAAGCAAAAACCAGTTAGTTATTTGACTGAGATTTTTCAGAATTCTCAGTCGAATTCAGAAGCGTTGAATTCTCTGCCCAACTCTGCATATTATTTGTTTATAAAAAATGAAGTTTCACCACCTATACCTAAGAAATAAATTCCTTGTGAATTACCCCTTTTCAGTTAAAACAAGACACCAATATGGTGTTTACACGAGATTTCTGAAATGGAAGTTTCTGTGGTCGGGTTGGAACCATCTCCAATACAAGTCTCACTACCGTTTGTTTCTAAATCAGGAGCAAAGCATCAAATAGTGGATGAGCTGTAAAGTGGTTGAATACTGGTAGTTCGATAAGGATTCGAATCCTGGCAAACGGGCTCCCTACATGGGCGTTTTCATGATTGTCGCCATGTGTAAGTTGGATACAAGCTGGTTTCCTTTAGAAAGTTCTTGAATAAGGCATCTCTCCCCTTAGGTAGATAGCTCTTATGTTTTTAAAATTAGGCAAAAGTTCGCCTATTCGTCCTCGAAAGCGACAAAGTTTCTTAAATCTACGCCAAACACAAAGTTGTTCTTTTGCCTAATTTTAAGTTTTACTTTGGCGTGTTACGCTTCTCTTTTGAGCTTTGCCATAATCAAATTATGATTGGTTTGGGAAAATTCAAGACTAATGTCAGCCATTTGGATCAAATCAGGATATGCAGAAATTCATCTGCAGGAAACGCGTGAGGGGCAAAATGAGAAAAAAAATGTTTTCTTATTTCAAGATATTTCACTACAGTTTTGCAAACAACATCGTTATTCATGTTATGTTCATTCAAAGAGATGGGTGGCAACTTTTCAGTAAGAATTTTCGAAATTTTTCGACGTTTAGGCTGCGTAGGACGACTGCTTCTGGGGTTCATAATAAACATCTTCACATATTCATTTCAAAATCCTCCGTATCAAAGAAAAACAGTGGATCGGGCTAATGCTCGATCTCTGTATATTTTACATAGAATTTCTAATGTCTCAGTTGCTGTTTGGTTATTTAAATACTTGATTTTGAAATTGTGTTCTATTTCCTTTAATTTTTATTTTTCTTCTTACAAGAAATTAGCATCACCTATAAATTCTTTATTGAAACTTTCTTTGAATTCTTGAAAACAAGTCTGCAAGGTTTCTTTCCTCCATTTTTTGCATGAAATATTCAAATATTTTTAGTACATTCACTTAAATCCGCATCTCAGCAACCACTATATATATTCATTTGTCTCCAGGTAAATGGTTTTATTACAGAAATCCACATCATAGCTTTCTCTACATGCCTAGATTTTCATTCATATGCCTAGACTAAGATTTCTTCTTCCACACGCCAAGACTAAGATTTTAATGATTTTAGTAATATATAGTGACTCAATAAAGTATTGGAGCATAAGGAAGTTTCAGATATTTAGTGATAAAAATTCAGATATTATTCTCAAACTAAATATTTTTCATTGTTTTCAGTTCTAAATAACATGCTAAATTTATTACGAGGAATCATATTTAACAACGCTAATAAATTAGTCAGACATTTTAAATATCTTGCCTTTAAATGCGAAATTAAGGTAAAAAAGTATGGAAGCATAACGGTATGAGCCTTATAAAGAATCCAGTTCTAGTAGGCGTCTATTGTAAAACACCTAGAAGAAGGATTTTAAACCTGGAAAAATCTCCAATTTAAGGTTTAGAACATACTTCGAACATAGATACAATTTTTCATTGGAATCATGAAAAATTTACGAAGAAAATAGCTGAATATTGTACGTGTGTATGTGTGTATTGTGAATATGGCAAAGCACACTAGGGCTATCTGCCTAAGGGTAGGGATGCCTTCGTGGAGGACTTTCTAAGGGAAACTGGCTCGTATACACGTTACGCATGGGAAAAACCACGAAAGCGCGCATGCAGCCAGCCCGTTCGCGGGATTCGAACCTCGGACCGAACTACCAGTGTTCAGCGATTTTACCGCTCGGCCGCTGGTGGGCTAGCTGAATATTGAATTTAAAATAAAAATCTACTGCGCAAATTAGTACATTTTTATTTAGAAGAAAAAAAAAAAAAAAAAAAAAACCGCCAGTCAAGGAGATTCTCTGAACTCGAAGAAAAGTGGATCGTTAGAAATGTTATGGATAATCTAAATCCGTGAAGCCAGACTGGCATTAAAAATCCAAGGAATATTTAGCAAATCTAATAATTCAGAACTGTTAAAAATATTTTAAGAAAAAATATTTTTATGGCTAAATAACTAAATGAAAATCATTTCTCAGTAAAATGATTGAAAGGTATGATTTAAATTCAGTTAAACTTCTATTAAAAAGCCTCAACATTTTTGGAATTTGGCTATACTTGTAAATGAAAGTACGTTTAACATTTTGGAAATGATTAAAAGCAAATGTTGCGGCAAAAACACAGTAACAAGTGAATAATTTTTGTCCTTCAGTAAGACACGTTGGAGATAGTCAGATGGTCTTGGGTTATGCGAGTGCTTGTAGCGTTTGAATTCTAAATTTTACTGATGGAAAAATTGATAATTTTATGGTAAGATACTTAAAGGTAAGGCATTTGAATATTTTAAAACAAAATTTGATGTACAATCCAAACAAAAAATGGACATAATTGTCACATTGAAGCTTTGTTAAAGTGATAAAGTGTCATGATGAAGTGTAAAATTTAATATTTACTGAATTTTATTTTTTATTTAATTTTAAGGTTTTTTGGTTTTCTTTTAGCTCTAAGGTATAGCATGTAATGAACGTATTTCGTTTAAATTAATTCTTTCATTAATCTTTTGAAAAAGTGTCCGTAAACCTGCTCTAACTCAATATTTTCTTCACTCAATGTAAATTAGTTCTGTAAAGCGTTAGTTGAAAAGAACCAATAACACAAAAAAGTTTTCAATTAAAAAAGATTCAGTAAAATCACGCGCATGAACATAAATATAATATTTGAAATTCTAAACGTCTATTGCTTAAGTTATTTACAATCTTTGATAATATGACATTCAGAAATTAACGCTCGTTTAATTTAAGATAAACACAAGCTTCATTTAAACTTTCTCACGTAATAAAAGTATGTGCACTTTAGAGGACGAATTAATTCGTCAGAACTCCATTCCCTGAAAGCATTTAAGATTTAACTTACCTCAAACTTAATCATTGCTGGCTTTTCGACGGGATGCAACTGAAAAAATAAATAATAAAAATAAACAAATGAAATAAAAAAATAAATAAGATTTTATGATCAGAGTACTCCTATTATTTACTACACTGCTCAAAACAATTAAAGGATATTGTAAGTTTTATATAAAATAAAGATATAAGCGAAATTTTTTTTGGCGAAAATGGAAGAAGAGAATCACAAATGCCAATTTTTCTGATTTTCAAACTGTGGAGTATGCTAATTTTGAGTTCGACGTCATAACGTCGCTTCAGCGGCAGCGAATGAAATTTGACTTCTGAACAAAAGACAAAATTTGACAACTGAACAAAAGACAATGAAGATAAGGATGATCGCCATTCAGTGACTGCTTTGCTTCGATGAGTAACGATGTCTCAGCGAAGTCAATTTAACCAATTTAGAAGCTTGGAGAGTTGTTGGTAGTTTAGAAGGGGGCCAAACTCAAGCCGAATTAGCGCAAGCCATTGGAGCGTCACGAAGTGTGATTTCCAGGATCTGGAACCGTTTTTTGGAAACTGGAAGTGCAGACCGAAGACCAGGGCAAAGTCGTAGATGAGCAACAACGCCCAATGAAGATCGTTATTTAGTAATTAAGACACAATAACACGCCGAATAAATACTAATTCAGAAGTCAAACAACAAAAATCAGCGTTATACCTACAAAATTTTCACAGGACTAGTTTCGATGGTTTTACCGAACCATCGAAACTAGTCCTGTGAAATCGAATCGTTATTTACCGAATCGTTATTTAGTGTTAACGACTCGGAGACACCGAAATATGAATGCTACTCTTCTCCAACAACACCTTCGCTCGGCTACTGGCAGCACGGTTTCATCTCAAACTGTCCGAAACCGACTCCGTGGTGTAGGTCTGTATGCTCGCCGACCGATGGTATGCGTTAGACTAATATCAAGGCATCTTCGCGACCGCAGGGAGTGGGCAACAGAGCATGTAAACTGGAGGAGAAATGAATGGAGCAATGTTCTTTAATCTGACGAGTCCCGTTTTTCTGTTCATCGTGATAATAGGCGTATTTTCATCTGGAGGGACCGTGGCAGTAGGAATAATCCTGCATTCGTGCACGAAAGTGTCAGATTTGGCGGTGTTGGAGTGTTGGTGTATGGTGGCATCTCCACTGGCGGGCGCACAGACCTCTACATCATTCGAGATGGACCTCTGACTGGTCACCGATATAGGGATGAGATCCTCAGACCTATCGTAGTCCCTTACGCTGCAGCAATCGGAGATGACTTCATTTTAATGGACGATAACTGCAGGCCACATCGTGCTAACCTGGTGGAGGATTTCCTTTTCGAGGAAGGAATCATACGAATGGAATGGCCAGCGTGTTCTCCAGACATGAATCCAATAGAGCACGTTTAGGACGCTCTAGGAAGACGAGTTGCTGGCCGCCAACCAACCCCACAAACTCTCCAAGAACTGGAAAGAGCTCTTCTGAAAGAGTGGGACAGAATACCCCAACTCGTGATTAATAGCCTCATTGACTCCATGCCTCAAAGGTGTTCAACGTTGCTGGCCGTCCTTGGAAACCCTACCCCCTACTGAAAATGATTTCCTTTGAAGAAAACACCTTTTCTTATTCTTTTTTTTTTTCTCATATGCACAAATTGTGCTTTTTTCCTTTTGTACACAAATGCGCAATAAAATGCATTTTTTCCTGCCAAACATGTGTAATTTATTCTCATATAACCTACTACGTCTGTCGACCAAGTATCAATCAGCTAAAACGTTTCCCAGCCACAAGATCCACCTAAAACCGCAATATCCTTTAATTGTTTTGAGCAGTGTATTTATATATGTATGGAGTGGTGCAATTTTAGACACTGTTGTAATAAGAAACAAATCTTTTGTTAACGTTATGCAAGTTGATGATTTTTAACCAATGCTTTATATTATATTACCAAACTCAAAGTGATAAATTGTTTAATGCGCAAAAGGGATTGAAAAACCATAGGAAAGTTCTAAATTGTATAATATTTAATGACATGTTAATAAAGAACGAGAAACTTTAAAAATTAAGTAGTACTCAAAGAGGTATACATACGAAAAAAGAGAAAGAAAAGTAATAAATTGCTCAGTATTCAAAGAGATATAAAGAAAAAAAAAAAAAAAAAATCTGATGTGAACAAACGACACATGATTTCCTTGTACGGCCTACCAAATTATACACATTTTTTGTTGCCCTTCATTTAAACTTATTTCCTCGAATTTCATTAGAGATATATTTTTAAATCAATCAATTCAGTTATAATTTCCCGGCAAAGGCAAAAATACATAAAATCTCAAACTTCATTAAGACTTGTGAAATACAGAAAAACCTAGAACATAAAATACAGTTCAACACAGTTTTAAAAAAATTTCAATTAAAACTAGGCTTTCTACGCGAAAACAAACAATTCGGGTGGCGAGTAGGAAGATAAAATCGTCGTCCCACTGGGCAAAAGACATTGAAGTTCGTGCACTAACCGACTTGATTCACTATTCTATTAAGAATTTCAAATGTAAACAAATGGCCGCCTCGTTAGGCTTAGCCACTTCCATTTTAAAATTGTTAATAATTCTACAGCTATTGCAACCACATACAAAATTTCAACGTTCTACAGTGACTCGTTTTTGAGTTATGCGAGATATATACGTACCTGCCTAAGTACAGAAAAAAAAAAAAAAAAAAAAAAAAAGTGCCGTTCAAATGAATTCGTGAGCATTCAAAATGGATATTTATGTTGAAATATGATACCCAAAATTTTTCGCGATTCTAGTACTTACAGTTCGTGTTTTTTTTTATTTCATACAAGGAAGTAACAAGAAAGGTTATCAATTATTATAATATTCAAAAAGGCATAAATAAAAGAACATATATAAAAATTCTCTTACCTTCTTAACTGTATGAAGAATGCAGTCAAATATCTGAAAGCAGAAAAATTTGATTTTTAACATGCTTTATTTATTTTCAAAAATGTATGTGCAAGCTTTACGTAAGCAACCATTCTTAATTCTTAATCGAGTATGAGATCACTTTGTGTACTGCCTTTGCAGTATAAAACTATCAAACTATTATAAAACTATGCACAAATCAGCACTCGCGTATACTCTGTCATAGATTCACGTTCTCTAATTTCCATCTCTATAATTAAACAACTAAGAATCTGCAAGTATTTGTAAGTAAGTAAGTATATGTAATTATGTGAGATTTTTTTTAAATTTGCAAATTATTTGGATACTGTTTGAATTTGTCTGTGTTTTTTATGCTATAATTTTGCATTATGTTGCACTGTCTACTTCGGCTTGTAGGAATTGGACAGATCAAGACACAGATTACTTTGTTTTTCTAAGATTGTAAGATTGTTTTTAAATTTTAAACTTTAATTTGTGTTTTTGTCAATTTACAAATAGGTTGTTTTATTTACTTACTTCTTTCATTGCACAAACCCCCTGATGACGATGCAGCTAAATATATAAATTTTATGTGTCAAGTTTGGTTCTGATATATTTTGATCCTCTATTCCTTCGAGATTGTCACTGTGCTTCAGGGTTTTTGAGTGCGTTTTATTCTTAACTAGCAGCTACGCGGCCAGCCTTCGTCTGGCTTTTAAATGTACCGGAAAAAGGCCTGAAAGGCAACCCCATACGTTAAATTTAAAAACTGCCCAGAATTTTACTCTGCAGAACAACTATCATTAAGAAAAAACACATTTAAAAAAAAATGTATTACATATAACAAAATTACAATGAAATAAGCAATATCCCTTAATACAAATATTAATTATCCTAATAAATAAATTAACCAACTTCCCGTTGCTTTCTCTCAACAAACGTCCAGTATCCAAAGAGAAACATTCAATTTAAAAACTGCACAGAATATCGCCCTCATTTTTCCAAGTGGCAACAGTGCTGATTTTCAACAATCAACAGTCCAGTATACAATTGAATGAAAAACTGTCGCCAAAACAACATTTCTAAAGGAATGACACTATTCAAAATGATGCGATAAAATCGAAAAGATAAAATTTAAAAAAAATCGCTTCTAGATGCACTGGCTCTTGTCTCGATGCACCTATATACCAAATTTCGTAGCCCTGGCTTTATTAGCTTATGCGCAGCAGGAACGAAAGACACACACACTCTTACTTTTATTATAAGTAGAAATTGAAAATGAATTTAATTTTAAAAGATTTTAAACTTACTATTTTTAGCATTTTGCGTTGAAAACTTTAAAAGGCTGTATCACTTTTCAAATCGTTGCCACCTTATATTATCGCCCTGTCTTATATTTAAAAAAATTAAATAATGGAGAATCTGTATAAATGCATGTATGTTTCTCGCACTGTGATGAAACAACGGTACCTACAGCCATGAATATTTAAATAATGTAATCTTCCATAGAATATGGGCATGTGGAAGCCCTAATTTGAAATTTGTTTTATAATCGATTTCAGATAACACTTCAACGAATTTTTGAATAAAAAACTAAACGATTTCAAAGCGAGCAATGGCCACACTGTATGAAAAAAAAATTATCTCCAGCGCGCGAATATCGAAAATTATAAAGATATGCTCATTTTAAAATTAATTTGCGATGTTGCTGTTGAACTCAATTTTATAGTTTGAGCACGTAGAACATAATATTTAATAAATAAAGGTAATACATAAAACGTTAAAAATGGCCCCTTTGGACATAATTTAAAATCTGAAATCTTTCAGATTTATTTATTTTTTGTTTTATTTTGGAATAGGTTTTGAACTGTTGTTCACTTTGCGTTTGTTCATTTTAAGCATGTATGTAAGTACATATGTGAGTTCCTCGCATTGTAGAAAAACGGCGCCTCCCAGAGCCACCAATTTTGAACACTCATGTTACTTGATCTGACCATGTACAACTCGAGTTTTGATTTTCTAATTTTTTAAAATTTATTTCTTATTTTATGCAAATTTAATGAACTTTTGATTCAAATGTCAATGATTAGAAAGCTTTATGTTGCCACTCGACCACGCTTTAAATCTTTATGTTTCAAATTTGATCAGGAAACTTAGCGATTTAAAAGAAATGAATTGTCACTCGGCAAAGCATAGGATATTTGTATATCAAATATAACAATGAAACTCGGCAATTTAAAAGAAAAGTGTTGCCACTGCCCAAATTAAAATATTTTTATCTTCCCCGCGACAGTGCATTATCTTTCAGCAAAGATTACAAATTTTCGGCAAAGATAATATTTAATCTTTCTCATACTAATTACCAAACTAAGCGGTTTAAGAGCAATAAATGCAGATCTTAATTTCTATTATTATTAATTACTAGCTGGATCTGTGAAATTATATTAGCTGGAGTCAATAAAATCATAACATATTTTTTCGCTTCTATTGTAACCTTTTTTAGGCGCCTAACCGCCCAAGTGGCTACTATTATTAAATAATATAAATAAATAAAAAATAATCTCCTATAAAAGTAAAATTTAAACTGTAAATGTGTGCTATTGTGAAAATCAAAAACTGGGATTTGTAATTAATTAAGCTAAATGGTTGATTAAAATGCTTAATTGATAAAAAGTAAATTCAAACAATGAAAACAAGAGAATTTTGTTTATTCCATAGAAAGCTCCCGATTTTTCAAGGGGAAATGGAATCTCTCATACAACGACCACCAATTCATGAGGATCGCGTTTCGTCATTTCGCCTTCTCGAACAAAATCCCTCTTCCAATTTAAAATTTTCTAACCAGTTGTAAAGAATCTGAATTTACTCTTTAAAATTTAAATTCTGAACATCTTAAAATTTTATATTCTTATTTTATAAAATTGATTAGAAAATTTAAAATTAGAGTACGATTTTTGTTCGGAAATGTGAAATGACGAGCAGTTGGAATCTTTCTATGAAATCAGTAAAAATATCTTGTTTTAATTGTTTAAATTTACTTTTTATCAACTGAACATTTTAATTACCGATTCCAGTTTAATCGATTACAAATTATAGTTTTTTATTTTCACAGTAACACATTTACTATCTGAATTCACATTTCCTAGGAGATAAATTTTCATTTATATATTCTCTATTACATTAAATTTTTAATCTTTGCAGCGATGGCGCAGAATTTTACTTTTTCAGTCTTTTAAAATAAATTTTGAAATTCATTAAGTTTTCTCTCTGCATTTCTTTACATATTATATACGTGTGTATATATTTATTTAACAGCTAAAGGTCTCCGGTAAGTAAAATATTAGCAGCTATAAATCTATCTTTCATAGCACTTGTGATTAAATTATACAGATTTAACTTGAAACTGTTCCCGAAACATTTCTATGAGATAAAAAAAAAGTGCTATGACAGCAAAAACTATTTGAAGGCTGCATTTATTCGCATATTTTCTTAGAAGTTTCTAAAATTTTGAATAAAAATAGCGTAATGTTTTAATAAGGCCGTCATCCTAATTAAAAAAATATATAAAATTCAGATTATATAAATCTAACCTGAAGTTAGATCATACAGATCTAACTTGAAATTCTTTTCGGAACCCTTGTGGGAGATAAAAAAAGTTCTTGATAAATTTGTTTATAACTATAAAAATTACTTGAAGGTTGCAGTTATTCAATTATTTTCTTAGAAGTTTCTAAAACGTTTAAAAATAGTGTAATATTTTAGTAAGACTATAGAAAGGTGGCCGTCTTCTTAATGAAAATAAAATTTGTAAAATTTAGATTATACATATAATTTGAAATTAGATTATTTAGATCTAACTTGAAATTAGGTTACACAGACCTAACTTGAAACTCTTTTCCGAACACTTTTGCGAGAGATAAAAAAGTTCTTGACAAACTTGTGTATTGTAACGTCAGAACACTCGTGTTGGGTGCAAGAAAAGACAGGTTGTCTTTTAAAATATTTATTTAAAAAACTTAATTGGAAATTCTTGATTAAATAGTAAAATAACTGAATCATTACAGCCATAAATTAAACAAAAGCCACTAACGCGACGAGGACGCCAAAATGCGTCCGCTACCTCTCGTTTACAGCATGGAAGTAAGAAAGTCTTACTTCCTAACTCCATAGTTTACAGCATCAAAAACAAGAGAATAATTAGTCCCTTATTGCCGGAAACCACACGAGGAGGTTTCCGCTGCATATTTCTTCAAAGTTCTGTTATCCATTTTGTCTCTGAACAAAACAGGGAAGTTCTCATTAAGCACCTGGAAGTCCGAGGGGTGCATGTGTCTAATCGTCACAGTATTATAGAGATAAAACTATCTGAAGGCTTCATTTATTCAAATATTTTCTTAGAAGATTTTAAAATAGTGAATAAAAATGTAGTGTAACTTTTAGGAAGTAAAGTTTAGGCCATTAAAAAAGGCCGTCTTCCAAATTAAAGTAACATTTATAAAATTTCTCAGCTTACCTTGGCAGGTATTTCTGGACTCTTGAACAGAGGTGCGTGTATAAGACATCTTAAGGTTTCTGCTCCAACCAATTCCTTTTGGCATTTTTGATGCGCTGCAAATATCTACAAATGAAAAGAAAGGAATATTAATAAACAACAAAAATATTCGCATGTTTCTCTGGCGTGTAATAAAAGAAGTTATTTGAAGCAATTTTTTTTTAATTTAGTGTTTTTAGTGACTTAATTCCAAGTATCGCTTTATAAGATATTTCTCCTGCCTTCTTAGCGTGCCTTCGTGGTGTAGTGGTCTGCATGCTGGGCGCGTATTCCAGAGGTCCGTGATTCGATTCCTGGCGAAGGCGTTGCTTGTTTTTCATCTCTCCTGCTTCCAAAAAAGTACCTAATGTCTCTACAGTGTCGCCCGAACTAAAAAAGGGTGGTGGACGATGATTCTCCCCACCCAGGATTTGGCGATTGGGTTCCCTAAAAACCCCAGTTGCCCTTTAAAAGGGGAGAATATAAGGTATTTCTCCCGCCTTCTTGGCATACCTTCGTGGTGTGGTGGTCTGCACGCTGGACGCGTGTTCCAGAGGTCCGTGGTTCGATTCCCGGCGAAGGCGTTGCTCATTTTTCAAGTGTCCTGCTTCCAAAAAATATCTAATGTTTCTACAGTTTCTATTCTGCAGTAGTTATTCTGAAGGGGAAAGCAAACGTCAAATGCATTCAAGGAAGATGAATACATGTTCAGCGAAACTTAGCAATTCTTCAAGTGTATAAGTAATGAATTAAACTATCGCATACTGAAGCGTATTTTTCCATTCTTACAATAATGCGTAACAATGGCTCTATCAAATAAAATTTAGATTTAAATTTTTATGGAAATCGTTTCGATTGGTATCAATTGTATATTGAATTTATGGATTATTTTAATTAGGTATCGAATCTCACGACGGAACATTGACTTCTTTTTCTATTATTCTAAAATTTAGTAAGACCTTCTAAACGTGTATTTTAATAATAATAATAATAAAATAAAAAAAAACTGCAGAATGAGAGAAAGGAGTTTAATAATCATGCTTTATTAGAATTATTACACTATTTAAGTACTAAATAAATCACACAGGTAATTATCGTGTTATCTTGTGCATAAACTACATAACTGCTCGTTAATTGTGTTAGTCAAGCGTAGCTTTATAGGGTCCTGCTTAGTTTTAACAGTTATTTTAATTTTTGAGTATCTTCTGAATTATCTTATTTACCCTCACATTTCCTTGTCAGGATACAAATTAATTAGGTGAACGAGAGTATTTAAACTTCTGAAACGAAAAGGTTACACAGAGCGTGATTTTGCTAGTGAAGCGCACATTTGTTATTTTGTCCTCCAGCTGCTAATCTTAGATGCGGCTATGCATACTAGCCGCCTAGTTAGTATGTCGGCAGTGTAGGTTTCTGTGTTAGCCTGTTAGAATTGATTGAATTGTTTAGTTTAACAATAACTCCTTACCTTTTGAATGTATTGTTCGTTTAAGTTCTCACCGCAAGCGGATGTTGTTTTGTGCAAGTACGTAAGTCCGTGCTTTCTGTTATACAGTTATGATATATAAAGGCTGTTTTACACCTTTTCCCTGTTGTGTTCATCTCCACGCCTGCGCGAGAAACCTCCAGGTAAGAACTTTAAAGTAGATCTAGTTACCATTTCATGCCTGCAAAACACACTAGATCTCGCGGTTTAGATATTTGAAATTAGCCCTGCATCGACTGCTGTCCTTCTTACTGATAAGTCTAAAAACAAATAAATAATAATATATTATTAACTTTTTCTAATTTTTGTTCCTACACTATCATAAAGTATTGTATCTAATTTAGCTTGTCTTTCTTCGTAATTAGAAGCAAATAAATTCTTATGAGAAATATACTCTCATCAAATTCACTTACATTTTTATTTCTTAAAGCTTATCCTAAAATATAAGATGTTCTTATACTTGAGTATGCATTCGAAGTCCCTTGAACACAGTTTTTTTATTTTCTACTAAAATTTTGTCATCCAAGACCATTACAGCATAACTTTGCTCATCTAGAAATGAAATGATGAAGAATCTAGAAAATGATCTAGAAATGAAATTTCTAGATCATTTGAGATCAAATGAAATTTCTAGATGAAAGAAAATTATCTAGAAATGAAATGCATGAGACTTTATCTCATCTAGAAATGAAATGTATGAGACTTTATCTCATCTAGAAATGAAATACATGATCTTTGGAACTGTTGTTCCTGTATCTTACAATTTTGTACATCGTGCTGCCACTGACCTGAATCTTCTAATTCATATATCAAATACCAGTGTTTAAGTTCCCTTAGCACATTGTAGAAATCCAATACGTTAATAAATTATGAATATTTTGTATGCCTGTGATCCGTAGTTGGTTGTGCAATTAAGCTTAATGCCGTTAGGTTTAGCATTATGCTTCCGAGTGATTTTGCTATACAAGTAAAATTCCATAGAGCGTCTCAGATAGATTTGTAGGACAAAAAATAGGAAAATTTGAAACTATCTGCCGATTAAACATTCTTACCCTGGGTGGTAGTTCTTTCTCACAGACAGCATACTTTTGGCAAAGTATTGGATCTCGGCCTAAAAGAAAAAAAGAAAAATGAGTAAGTCCTGTTGCAGAAAGGTATTGCTCATGCAGTTACAAACACTTTTTTGTAAAGTTCAGCATTCTTATAATCAAACTCTTTGATGCTAGAAATAATGCAATAGGCGCCGCTTATTGTGGTCACGTTTGTCAACTACTATTTTGATAAGTTTAACCGAATGATAACACTAAACGACGAAGAAAAATATCCTTCCAATTAGCTTTGAACTGAACTAATTTAATGTAAAATATTAATAAAAATGTAAGAATCATAGCATTTTTCGAAATTATTTGGCTAATGCTCTACCTCTAATCTTAATCTTCGGAAGGCATCTCTCATTGGAAGACAACATGCCAATGAAAAATTTTAAATTAAGCAAGAAAGCAACTTAGCTTGTCATAGATGTTTTCAAGGAATTCATTTCGTTTTCTTCCCCAAGGGAAAAGAAAAAAAAAAAAAAAAAAAAAAAAAAAAAAATCTGCAGAATTCTTTCTCGTTTCTGAATAAGAAAGATTTGTGCCTGATCACCCTCAGAAAGGCGAATATGTTTTGTCAGAATAGAGTTATTCAGGATCTCCATCAAACTAAAGTTGCTTTTCTGGCTAATTTTAAATGGTTGACTGAAATCGGAACCAAGCTGTTTGGCACAAGTTAGAAATTTTTATAACCTATTTTGACCTTATTTGGAGAATTCATTTCAGTTTAAAAATTTATCTTATCAATCTTATGTGATCTTACTTATCAATCTTATGTTATCTTACTTATCTTATCAATCTTATGTGATCTTACTTATCTTATCAATCTTACGATCAAATATTATATTATCAATCAAATTTATCTAATCAAGTTCAGTTATATTAATCAAATTGTTGATCACGATAAGAGATATATTGTCCATATTTTCGTAGACAAACAGGTAGGTCTTCAGCAAATCGATTACAACATTCGAACGGTAAAATTAACAGCGATCACATTAAGTGACGCATACTACAATAAGAAAGAATTCTTGGCTGGGAAAAAAAATTAAATCGCAATACGTGACAATGTAAATACATTGACTTTCTTGCAAGTTGAAAAGATCTAAAAGTAACCTATATGCAAAAAATATGATGGAGACACCCTATGGCGTCCTTGTCCGGCCTATTAAGTTATTCACATTTTCCGCTGCACTTCATTTAAATTTATTTCCTCAACTAACTTAAAATACCGATGCCTCAAGGCAAGTTGAAAATGACATCAAAAACTGCAAATTTTGAAATTAAGTATCCCGGTTAAAGTCAAACTTTGTATGATTTTATTTATTTATTTATTTATTTCACAAAGAGTACAAAACGTTCCCAAATATAAATACATGAATTGAGAGACTGTATTAAATTTTTTTTCTCCTACTTCAGTTCTTACAATCCTTAACTGACCTAATAAACTTTTTCCTTATTAATTTCAGTCGTTTAAACTAATTTATTTCTAGTTCTCTAACAGAAATTATAAAACAATTTTTTCTAATAAATTGTTCTTAAAATGTAGTTCGCGAATAGTTTTAAATTACTGTTTCATTTATCATGTAATTATATATTAATTAAAATTACCTGTAATTAAAATTAATTTATAATTAATAATTAATTGATAGGAATTAACTATATTTATCTATCTTTACCTCTATTTATTTAACTTTTTTGAAACTTCTCGGACTATTATTATTTATTTATCTATTATTATAAGATATTTATCTATCTATTTATTATTACTATTTATATTTATATACTATTATTTATTATTACATATATTTTTTTCTAGGAATCTCCTTTTTGTTTATGGGTCTATACTTTGCGATGAAACAGAAATATGTGACTTTGGGTCGCAATGAAACGGATCTATATGCATGTAAGTCGCAAGATTAAAATGTTTGAAACACGCTGATCTAACAGATAGAAGCTATATGTAAACCGGAGTTTGAAATTCTGCAGACTTGGTGTTTTTTTTTTTTTTTTTTTTTTTTTTTTTTTTTTTTTTTTTTTTTTTTTTTTTTTTTTATACATTTCAGGAATGGTATTAATAATGCAAGGTGATGAAAAGGCGAATGAATACAATGAATTGATGAAAAGGCGAATGAATACAATGAATTGATGAAAAGGCGAATATGTTTTGACTACACAATTCCCTTACTAAATAATGTTAGTGTAAGCAAAACTCATTGTAAGAAACATTTGGAAATATTTAATAAAATATTGGATTAAACTTTCGAAATAATAAATTTAGGTATGTAGGTGAATAACGATTTCATAAAATTATTTTTTTTCAGGAAAAAAAAAAAAAAAAATTATTTCCAAGCCTTTTACTTTTAATGTATTGAGTTCTCTTAAAGCTAGAAAAATTTGAGGAAGAAATATTTCTTGCGTTTTCGACTCAGAAGTATAAAATTTTAGCTACCTTCTCATATATATTTATATCTTGAATAATTTTGAGTTTTTTCGACTGCAGGTATTTAAAATGATTTTAAGAGGAATTGCTAACAATGTAAGATATTTTACATTTTTGGAAACTGCCCTTAGAGCAGATGCCAACGTGAAAAAACGATGTAAATCAACTTGAAAACGGTCAGATTATCTTTTTTTCATTTTTTCTTTTATGTCTACTTAATTAATATTGAAGGAATATGGGAGATAGAATTTAATTCTAAATTGAAGACAGTAAGTTACTAGCAAAACATCCTAATTATAACAAAGTGATACAGAAAATGAAAATTACTTGGCAGTAGACACTTTCAATGAGAGAGTTAGCTATTTATAACCATTAGTAAAAGTTCGAAAAGTTTGGAAATTCATGTCTGCCACAGAAAACTTTTGCGTCAGACTTGCACTTACCTTACGCCGAAAGTGGAACCTAATCTATTTGTTACAGGTAGACTAAGAACTATTACAACTGTCCAACTAATCCAGATTAGAAAGTGAATAGGAATTAAGAGCGCATAGAAGTATCAAAGCAAGCATAATAAATAAATACACTAATACTCCTTTCTTTTCACCTAATTGCTGGTTTGCATACTTTTAAAGTAATCGAGACATTCTGAAGTAGATTTTAGAATCAGAAGATTTTTTTGAAGCAGGAGACGCGAAAAATGTGCAATGCCCTCACCAGGACTCGAACCTGCACCTCTCGAATGCTACCGTTACACCATGAAGGCGTTACAGAAGAAGGAAGAAAATACCTTGTATACTCCCTCCCTTTTAAAGGGATTAGGTGACCCAATTGCCAAATCCTGGTGATGACAAATAATTGTCTACCATCTTTTAGTTCGGGCAACACTGTAAAGTCATTAGGTTATTTCCAGGCAGGAGACGTAAAAAATGTGCACTGTCCTCTCCAGTACTCGAGCCTAGACCTCTCCAATACGCCCCGAGTGTGCTACTTTTACACTACGAAGGCATGCTGAAAGGAGGGTGGTGGTGTGGTGTATTTAATTATGGCAAAGCACACTAGGGCTATCTGCCTAAGAGGAGGGGATGCCTTTCGTGGAGGACTTTCTAAGGGAAACTGGCTCGTATACACGTTACACATGGGGAAAACCACGAAAACACCCATGCAGCCAGCCCGTTCGCGGGATTCGAACCTCGGACCGAACTACCAGTGCTCAGCGACTTTACCGCTCGGCCGCTGGTGGGCCGCTGAAAGGAGGGAGATAATACCTTATATACTCCTCCTTCTAAAGGGCGATTGGGGATTAGGGGACCCTAGGAAAGAGAAGAAAAAGGAAAAAAAGAAAGAAGAAATGTGAAAAAAGGAAATGTTTTTCAAAGAAGGAAATGTGAAAAATATACAATGCCCTCGCCGGGACTTCTTGAACACCCGCCGAGTGTTCTATTGTTACACCATAAAGGCAAGATGCAAGAAAGAATTCCTTCGTGGAGGACTTACTAAAGGAAATTGACTCATATATGTTAAAACATTGTCACACATGAGGAAAATCCCTAAAACGCTCATGCCTTTCGCCGGGATACGAACCGCGAACTGAACTATCAGTATTCAGCGACTTTACCTCTCGGCCACCGATGGGTCTGCAAACGTAACGGAAGTGCAGAATCTTTGAAAATATAGCGAGGGTAAATAATCCATGCCATTAGAAAGGTCTTTTATTATTTACACTAAAGATGAAGCCTTTATGACATTTTACTGTTGAATACACCTCAAATTGAATAGCGGCTTCAAAATAAAATGTCCGTACATTCAAAATGACTGTGCATTCTTGAACATTTTTAAAAATAAACAAACAAAAAAGAGGTATGCATGCTAAGCAGTCTCACATAGTAATATAAATTTCTACATTGAATACATTTAGCAAGAAAAATAATGAAATGCTTTAAATATGATATTTTTAGTTTGATGCTAAATAAATAGATTTTTTTTTTTTTTTTTTTTTTTTTTCAACGCAAAATTTTAGGGACAAGCAATTAATTATCTTAACGTAAATTTCACTTATCCTTGCATCCGAAATGCGTGTAGTTTTTCAAAAGGAAAATTCAGGTTTAAAGTTCATCTTATATCGCTCGGCACCAAGACAAAGTCACTAATTTTCAAAATAATAGTAATCATTCCCTCGAAAAAATGCGCGTTCGAAGACCTGTCTGACGCTAGGTGTCGCAAAAAAAAAAAAAAAAAAAAAATCACGTGATCTCTATACAGTAATTCTTATTTATTCGTCTCCATATGTATTTGCTTCATTTAACATAATGCAGCTCATCGAAAAATAACATAGCAAACATCTGTAAATAAAAATAACAAAAAGGCAGATTCGTACTTTTGGCTACACCATTAATATTTTACTAAATTATAAAATATATACAGAAATTATACATAAAATTAGTTTTAGATTACTTAAATTTTTACACTAATAAGGAACTTATTTTCTGTATTGATAGAGAAGGAAAAATTAAGAGAATTTAACTTTAGAATTATGAAGAACCTTTTCTAGATTTTCTTTGGGAAAAATACAAAATCTTAAACCGAAGATATGTGCAGCAGCTCTCAGAACCGGCTAAACGCGATTCCCCCTCCCCATCAAGGGGAGGAAAAAAGAAGGCCTCCCTAAGCCATAGACATATCAAAGTCTAAAATAATGCATTTATGGCGCTACGTATTTAACAAATAAAGCCATAGAAAAGGTGGTTAAGAAACTACATATTTATTATATAAAGCTTCTTATTAAGGAATAGTATAATAGCACTGTGTACTTACTCTTTGATATACAATCTACAATTTTGAGGAATTCCGCTTTTCTCAGAGATACGAGGTAAGTCTTTTCCACAGCATAACTTCGAGAAAAGAAGGCTGCAAAAAATGTTACGATGCTAACTAGTACAATAAACTTCATTGTCGCGAAAAAGTAGAAAATATTGATTCAGTTTATTGAGCGAAAGCTGATCTGATTTCTGTGTGATGTTATTTGAATTCGTGTGTTTTATTTATATGCTACTTTGTGCGCCTTTTTAGTTGAAAATATGCTTCACTTATTTCTTCTTAAATTCTTAAATTTATTCGTGAAAGTGATTTCACGCTTCAGCGTGAATTTCAAGTAAAGCTGCAAGAGGAAAGACAAGGGCTTCTTGTGATCTTCTGTTAACAATTCTGTTTACGTTGCCAAACAACGGAAACTTACACTCAGAATAATAATATTTAGAATCCTTACACTCAGACTAAGAACGTCTTAGTGACGCTTGTAAATAAGCTGTTTTTCACAAAAAATTCCCATTTCGAAGCTTTGTGTTTAACTGTGCGTGAAGTGTTTGCTTGCTAAGCAAACTCATTTTAGGCTTAATAAATACGTGTCGTGTGATATTAAAGTAATCTATCTATCTTCATGGTCAAGTCAAAATTATATTTAACTTTAGAAGAACAGTCAAGAAATATGAATTGTTTTGTTTACTCTAGTGTAAAATCTTTTTCTCTTTTTAGATGAAATGGGCGTTAGCCTAGAAGTTTCAAAAAGGCACTTTGCTTTGAATCACTTTTCAGATTATTACCACCAAATGTTAAAACCTTGTTTTATATTTAAAGAAACTAAATAATGAAAAATATAAATGAATGTATATATGCTTCTCGGACTATGAAAAACAACAATACCTAGAGTCATCAAATTTTGAATAGCATAGTCCTTCACACGAACATGGACAGCTAAGGCGCAGGATTCTAAAAATGATCCTACTTTCATTTTTTAATTTTGTTACTATGTATATATATAATTTAAAGTTAAGTTGTAAGAACAAACGAACTTAACTTTAAATTATATATATATATAGATATACTCTTAAAGTAGTCCAAAATGAAGGCTTTTTTTTAAAAAATAAACTTTAAAAGAGCAAAGAGACGAACCGCGCTAGTTAAATCAATAAATCAAAAAAGGAGATCAACAGTTTCACAGGAAGACAGGAAACACATCAAAACTGAAACCAAAACAAAACAACTCGATAAAATGACACAATAAAAATAACATAATAAATTGTTGAAAATTCTTTGGTCTTTTTAAAGGAGCAGCCGAAGAATTTTCATCAGAATCATATGTGAATTATTTTAGAAATTTCTGAATTATATCGGAATTATTATAAATTCTTCAAAGAAAAGTGCCAAATGAAAATTTAAGAGTTAAACTAATTAAAATAAAAAAATAATAATTAACTAAAACTGAAACTAAAAATTATTAATTAATGGGCATTAAAAATACGATAAAGTATAAAATAAAAACTATTTTTTTTTCAATTTTAGTAATCATTCTGATATAATCTGCTCTTTTAATAATTTAGAATCTTAATTTGATATTTCTAATACTTTTTTTATTTATATGCATATATATATTCCTCCGATTTTATTCCTTTTAATCGACAATTGAAAAATTATTTTTTTCAAATTTTTAACCTCTTTTGTAAAAATCGAAAATTGTAAAAAAAATTCAGTTCTTAAAGTACAGAGATGAAACATACTTTATTTGGAACAGAAATGCCTATAGTTTACTATGATTTAAAAATTTAAAATTAGAAACTAAATACCGGCTCTGGAAGTGAAGAAATTTCAAAAATTCATTAAATTCTCATACATAAAGCATGAAATATTAAAATAAAAGTTACTCATATATTCTTCATTTTATACTAATAAATCTTTAAGGATCTGGAAAATGCGTCGTAACTGAAGTTCAATATGTGTATATCATGTACCTTAGCTCAAGTTAGTGAAAGGAAAAATTAATGTCTTAGATTGATATTTTCAATCACTCAGTAAAACAATATATATATCATAACATAATATTATTGTAAAAGCGCTTAATTGAAGTTGTATTGAAAAAATTTAATATAGGCCATAGTCAATTGATACAGTCAATCTTTTGGTCTGAAAGAAAACTATAGATATACGTATAAAATCAATGCGATATGAATTATTTTCTTTGTCAAACATTTGGGTTTCCAATATTTAGTACAAAAAATAGTATTATTATTTCGCAAAGAATTTTAATAATTGTTGTTTGCAAAGCATTACATGAAAATTCTAAATTTAGGAAAAGAAGGAAATCGGGATTATAAAGTATCAAAACAATTTTATAGTTAATTTTTTAAGACAAATATTTATTATTACTAAGCAATACTTACTTCTTTTCTTTCTGTGCCTTGCTTATGAATTCGAAATTAATTATTATAAGCAATTTTTAATTTCATACTTTTTGTGTAAATAAAAATGATGAAATTTCGAATTCAAATTGTAAGAAAATATGAAAAAAACTATTTCTTAAATATCATAAGTAATTATTTAAAGCTCTAACTTTTATAAATGAATTATAACACAAAAAAGTAAGTAAACAATTGCAGAAAAGAATTAATTGTAATTAATTATAAGTAACTGAAAATCTTAAAATGTGTCCAAGAGAACTGATGTTCCTGTTAAAAGTATTTGAGCCGAAATAGCCATCAAAATATGAGTGAAACTTATTACACTCCATTTCTCAAACATATTACTGTGATTTTGTATCGGTTTCTCAGTTTGCTGCCTGCACTTCCACATACTATATTATATCAGAACCTCTATAGAGTTTTTAAAGTTGCACCAACAACTGAATTTCTAATTTTATCCCATTTTACCTCACTTTCAATTCAACGTACTCCAAATGTATGCAGCGCTTGTTTAAGAAGACACACGATGAATCATATATAGTATATATAGTATTTGGCAGTTTGATTTGTAAGTTTTGTGAAGTAGTGTCCTAAAATATCTGCCAGAAGATGTCCACTGTTAATGCGAGTGTCTAAAAGCATTTACAAAACCTAAAGCGGGTTAAATTCAGCAATGAAGTTTGTGAAATAATAAATTAGACATGTTATCGGCTAGATGTCCCGACTTGCGATGACATTTTTCAGACCATAATTTCGCCAAATACAGCTACAAATACAGCTACAGACTACCAAGAGGGAAACACGATTTTAAAGGTCTTATTTTCTAAAAAATTAAAAGCATTTCTCGACCTGCATTTGCGGTGTTGTGAGCAGCACATCCAATAAGAAACTGGAGGGTCTTGAATTCCATTCTCAAGATTATTGCCCATGAAATTCCTTAAGACTTTACAAATTTTATGCTTTCACTTTTTTTTTCATAACTGGATAACCCCGGGTTCCCGCTTTCTTTGAGTTAAAATAACATTTCCATTGCTGGAGGTGCTAAGATAGCAAGAAATTATGAATATTACGCTTGTTGCTTTAGCACCTCCAATAAACATGTGTTCTTTTTCTACTATTTGTTGATTTATTTTAATAAGGCAAGCCTGATTCTTTAAGAAGCTGAAGCAATCTTAAAACCTGATTTCTGTTCCTCCTATATCGGAATTTTGCTAATAATTCACTGTCTAGTTAATCATTAGTATTGTTAATCAAACTGAAAAAGCAGGACACCGTAAGTGATCATAACGCCAGCTATCGTCAGAACAAATCCTCTGGTGATAGGAAACATGCCCCATCCAGTCAGGCTGGTACTAGAACATTTTATGTTGTCTGTTAAGATCATGAAACTTAGAACTGCATCAGTAGCTAAATTCTTCTTCAGAATGATCTCCGACATACAGAACACTCGTTGCTTTAATTTATCTCCCGCTGTCGTGACTTCGGCGGCATTGTAGGTGAGACTGAAGAAGATGGCAAATGCGAAAGCAAACACAATGATAATTTCAGCTGCAAAGATTGGCCGGCCGAAAAAATCGGTTGACGTAAGCACAGAACTCAGAGTATGGAAAAAACAGCTGATAGTAGCCACGTAAGTGAAGAGAGTTATGAAAGACAAAGCATTATCTGCCGCATGGACTCCATATATTATTCTTCGGAATATAATGAAATTATCTGTAAAAGATTCTTTGGTTGCGTTGTTCTGCAGGCTTTCTATTAATGCCTCACCATAGCTTTTAATGACTCTGCGCAGAATCACATGAACGTTACAACACGAAAGAACGCACATTGAAACTGTGAATATGCTTATGATGTTGTTGGTGAGGTAAGACGCAATGACTATATGAACAACACTGATACCGCCTATAGTGGTGAGATTGTAGCCAAAAAAAGAGAGGTACTGTCGATTTTGAACTTTGCCATCACAAAATACGCTTAGTACCACTACACTAAACAAAATACCGTTCAACAAGGTGAAAAACAAGCACTGTAAATAAATTTTAGATTTCAAACTTCTGTAAACAGATACCGCCACTTCTCCATATAGTTGCGAAAGGATGTCAATCACTTTAGGTATTTTGTAGCTTCCCAGTATCATATTAAAGCGTATAAATAAACCTGCAATGTACTTTAACAAGTAAGTTATAGTCATCGCTTTCTTAACAGAAAAGTTATGAACGAAGCTAACTGATATGGCAAATGAAAGGACTGCTATAATATTAAACAGGATGTCATAGTATTTTTTAAAACCATAATTCTTTACTGCAGTTTCATCTTTGCTTCCATTTGAAGAACAAAATGTTATACCGAAAAAAGATGCGATTCTAAAGATAGGCTCAAAATCATTTTGCATTTCTTTCGGTAACAATTTGCGACCAGAATCATTACATAACGGCGTAAAGTACAAATATGGTTTCTTCTGCGCCATATTATTTTCGATGACTGAAGGAACTACATTGTTAAATGAACCTTTTTCACTATTTTCGACGAAACCCGTTTCTTTCATTTTGGCTTGTTAAATTAGTAAATGAATTTTTCTTGAAGTTAGTATAAGTCACTGTTTTGCTTGGTTTGGAAACACGAGTTTGAAGTCACTCAAATGTAGTATAATGTATGAAGTCTTTTATACATTTAATCTTTTTTCAGCATGAAACACTGCGAATAAAGTATGTTGCGAGAAAAAAAGCCTTAAGTCTTGAAATGCAAGAAATCATTCCTAGAAGCTTAATTGAACAGTATTAGATAGCCGCTTGAATCAATGAGCTAACAATATTGCCACCATTAACTTAATAATTTCATCATCTGTAACAACAGAACGTTCACAAATTTCACTAACTGTTTTACACGTAATCGTTAAAATTATTCATCAGATATCTTAGTCACACCATCAGGTTCTTGCAGACTATCAGAACTTAATAACTGAGGTATTTTATGCGAGTCGGGAAAGCGTGATAATGAGAAATAAATGTAAACAATGAGAAGTAAAGGGTGGACTTTTATACTAGATACGTTGGTTCTTTTGTAATAGACAGAACGGCCATTATCGCCGTATTTGACTTTCCAAGAAGAGCAGACGTTATCGATCTTCTGTGCTGTTTGAGTTGTCCACCTGTTGACAGCAGCCGCCGGACAACTCAACACGCCTTTTATTACCGGTAACACCCGAAGCGCTCTATTACGTGAAAATGGAATTTGCACGAAGTCTTGAGGCAATTAACGGTTAATATTTGAAAGGAAACGCCCGTTATGTGAGTTCATCGTTCGTTACTGAAGAGGAAATGAATTACAGCACGCCTCTTTGCAGCAATAGGCGTAGTTTCAGTCTTTACGAGTCAAACAATGGAATTAATGAGGTTTCAACCTTTGCAGAAAATAATATAAGGCCACCCATTCATTTCTGTTGCGCATTAAGTTAATCTGAAAGATTAGTTGTTAGCGTAAGCCCCATGATTAATTATTTATGGCAATCATAAATTGTACGCCTAGCAACAAAGGAATTATTTTTTAGTTAAAGGTGATTTTAAAGGAAAAAGAAAGAAAGAAAAATGTAAAGGAATTATTCAGAGTTCTTTTCCCCCCCCTATTTCTTTTCAGTTATCTGCAGTTAGAATCTTTTAACTTTAGAAATATTCCTGTTATTTTATAGATTACTATGTAATTACACATTTTGTGTTTTCATTCTTCGCTAAGGCCCTGTCTTTGCTTATTTTTAAGTGTTTGGAGTTAAGATAACTTTCTCATTTTTCGATACTCTTTTTTCTACATTAGGATACTTAAATTATTCTAGCTTGAGCACTAAAAATCTAACGCTAATGCTATTGCATTCAGATAACAAAAGACAAGAAAAACCTCACATACACAAACAGAGTGAAGATCCAGAGAGGAGATATAAAAGAGATACTGAGGTTCTTGCCTCGGCGATTGAATTTACAATAACATTTAGAAAAAATTAGCATTAATAAAAATGAAGAAACGTATAAGGTATATCCTAATTTTATAACAGTTATTTTAAGTTTATAGCACTTTCCTATTTCTTCTACCTTCAGCTTACAATTCCTTGCCAGAATGAGTTTTTAGAATCACGTTAATGCAAATGAGAAACAGAGTAGTATTTAAGTCAAAGTTCCACTGACTTCGGGAGAGAGAATTAGTATTCTTGCATAGCGCGCGGTTGCCTTTTGGCTAGGTCTTTCTAACTGTTACTACGCTCGGCCGTATTACGTGTCTTTAGGTAACTTCGCTAGCTAATTTGACATTACTGTCAACTAGTTTAGAATTTGTGTTAGCTTCGGCTAAATCTCTTTAGTTAGTTCTTATTTCTTATATTTTTAAATTTAAACCCAAGTGGAGGCTTTGTTGTACGTCCTGAGAAAGGGGCAATTAAAGGGTAATTAACCCTTCTTGAGTTTACGTTTCTGTTCGTTTAGTAGTTCACTAGGTTCCTAAACACTTAGTTAACAGATAAAAGGGAGGAACATTACACGTGTAAATGGAGCTACAATTAAGAAAGAAAGTCTGAAAGCTTCCAGATTTTATATTACGCCCAAAGGAGCGTTTACTTCTTTTACAGATACATATACATTTCGAGAGCATTTGGACTATTACCCCTTTGGGCTAAAATATTTAAAAACACCACATCGTTAGAATTTTCGAAAAACAGTCTCGCGCCCTGGAGATACAAATATTTTATTCCACACAGTGTGTTGCCACTGTTCCGCTTTGACATCATATCAGCGAGTATTTTATTCGCGTTTCTTAATCAAAAAATCGTTGTTGTTTATTAAAAATGGGAAACAGATGGTAAAACAAATTCGAAATTCATGTTTCGGGCTTCCAGGTACGTTATTCAATATTCAATGGCTCTAGGTACCGTCGTTTGTTCACAGTGCGAGAAACATACATACATGCATACAGAGTCTTCATTATTTAATTTCGTTAAATATAATACAGGGACGATAATATTTGGTGGCAACAATTTGAAAAGTGATGCGCCATTTATCGTGATTCGACGCAAAACGACATTTCGAGAGCAATACCCTTCCGGGTTAACGTCCCTTTAGGCAATTAATTCCAGGTTAAAAATGCTGACGAACTGGAGTAAAAAGATGATTATATACAATTATGGCCAAAAATTATGTATTTAATGGATGATCACGTAGGAAATGAGTAGTATAAGTGCAGCGTCAGTATCTATTAATTTATATTAAATTTTTTTTGGAATAACTGATATTACTATCAATAAGGTATCAGCCTACGTTCTACACTCAACTTTGAAAAATAGTACAAACAAATATATTATAGGCGTTATTTAAAGGAAAGCTACTTAAATATGTGATAAACTTATTATCGAAATGTAATTTTTGCTTTTCTTCTTCACATTTTTGAGTACATATGTGTTGAAATTTCAGGATTACTTGGATCAAAAAATATTTATCAATATTTTACTTTTATTTTTTCACTTACATTTATTACAGCATAAGGAATAAAATGGACTCAAATCTAAGTGGCAAAGTAAAATGTCTTCTAAATATACCTTGTATAGACATTAGGTTATTTTGAAGCAGGAGACGTGATAAATGTGCAGTGTCCTCGCGGGCACTCGAACCTGGACCTCAGTGGTGGACATCATGTCAAGCATGTTTTGTAAATTTTTGTAGATTATTTATATGTTCTCAATAAAGCTATGATACGCCACCTAGGGGTGGTTTTTGAAACTCATTGTTTTTTTTTCCTCGATAAAATTCCCATCATTTCATTCTGCCATTGCTCAATTTTCATGCAATTCCGCTGTATAGTTTTTGCTACAGACTGCTCGCAAATTTCAAGATTAATTATGGAAACCCTGTATATACATACTAGTGAGCAAAATTAAGAGAATTTGCACATTATGTCGAATTTCTGAAAAGCTAATGGAGAGATTTTAATGAAATCTAGTACTACATTATACATTGGTAATATGTTTATAACCGAGAAAGAGATGTACCATTCAAAAATCCTTTTATATACGCATGATTATCAATAAAGCTCAGAATGCACGAATGCCCCGAAATCCACGCTGTGATATCGAGCTGAAAATGAGTCTAATATGGGGTATGGTCCTTTCTCACAACCAAACGTATACTGGGCAGTCCGCAACGTATACTGGGCAGGAGACAGTTGAAGAATCCCTAGTCGATTCCACTCCCTGCAGTAAGGCAGTTTTAAACTCCGGGATGGTACTCGAAAGAGGAGATGAAATTGACTTCCCAAGACTGTTCCAGACATGCTGCGCTCTACGTGAACGAGCGTTATCGTTCATTAACGGGAATCCAGGACCAACTGAACCCTGAAAATTCTCTCTAAGATCTCTTTTCTGTACCTCATAGCAGTAAAGGGACTTTTGTCAAACATATGCAGGGTTGTGCGGCTGTCCAACGTTATGTCTGCTAAAAATATTTACACCTCCACAGTTATGATCCTTTTTCTTGATGAGGGAGGAATGGTATCGTGTTCTAGACTCTCTCCAGATGCAGGCACGCCGAGAAGCAGTGCCCACCCTGAATCTCGAATCATATGCAAAAACACGTTGCTCCACTTAAGTCTGGATGTTATCTGCACCATGTCTCTTGTATGCTACAGTCAGCGCGATGCAAACAGCGGGTAATCTGGAATACAGATTTATCTCATGAAACCTTCGGGGAACTGTATCGGTTCACTATAAATGTCCGCTTCACTTTTTAAATTGTTGCCATTAAATTAAAGAAATTAAATAATTAAGAATCTGCATGAATGCTTGTATGTTTCTCGCATTGTGAAAAAACACGGTACCTAGAGCCATCAAATTTGGAATAACGTAGTCCTCCACCGAATATGGGCGCTATATGCCTGAATTCGAATTTGGAATTTGTTTTATTGTCTGTTTCTTATTTTGTAAACTTTTAACGAGTCTTTTACTAAAATGCTCAACAATTTCAAAGCAAGCAGTGGCAACACTGTACGGAAAAAAAAAACACTTTTGTCATCAGCGTGGAAGACTGTCAAGATATGCTGTTTTTAATATTTTTAGCCCAAACGGACATTAACTCAAATGCTCTCGAAACGTGTATGTGTGTGTAAATGGGGAAAAAAAAGACAAAAAAGAACCCCTTTGGGGCATAATATAAAATCTGAAAGCTTTCCTTTTTTTTTTTTTTTTTCCATTTACTTTGGTCTTACTTTAGCCCAGGAAGAAGAAGCCTGTTTTGTAATTTTGGATGCAAAATTTCGTTTGTAACGAATGGGTTAAGGTACAGATGCTTATCAAGGAAATGTGGATACATTAAGCATTTGTTAAAGAGTTTAAAATTCTTAATAAGCTAATTTATATTTCAAATATTAGAATTTGATATTGCTTTATTTTTTAAGAATTTACAAAATATTTCACGAGATTATAATTAACTCTGCATTTACCTAAGACTTCAGCCATTCGAAATATCGTCCAGAGTCGTCTAAAATACCTCAATGGCTCCATATAACAGAAGACTGTAAAAAATTATTCCTAAATCATTTTAATCAATAAAAGGAAAAAATAAATAAATACCTAAATAAGTTACCAATAAGCTAATTTTGCTTGCATAGGAAAGATTCAATTGGATGTTTAGGTTATGACAAAGGCTACAAGAGTTTCCTGCCTATGGGGAAGGATGTTTTCGTGGAGCATTTTCTAAGGAAAACTGACTCTTATTCAAGTTATTTTATAGGGAAAGCCACGGAAATGTCTATGAAGCCAGACCGTTCGCGGAGATTTTAACCTGGAACAAATTATTAATTTTCAGTGGTCGTATCCATTCAGCCGTTTTTGGATCCGGCCTAGAAAAAAGAAAACAGATGATCCTGTATTTTCAGATATCCGGAGTCCGGATAGTTAGATTTCTACATTGCAATGAATGTAGCTATAGTTACTAT